TCCAGAGGATCCAGGTTCAATTCCCAGTATCCACATGGCAGCTCACAACTGTCTGTAACTCCAGGTCCAGGGGATCTGACGCCTTCACATAGACATACTTCACACTGACAATGCATTTGGGCAAATACCCAATGCACATAAAATGTAAATAAATAAATAGGTGCTAGGTCACCTTTCTCACTTATTTGTTTGTTTGATTGTTTATTTGAGACAAGGTTTCTCTGTATAATAGCTCTGCTGTCCTGGACTCAGTTTGTAGACCAGGCTAGCCTTGAACTCAGAGGTCCTCCTGCCTCTGCCTTCCTGGTGCTGAGATTAAAGGCGAGCGCCTCCACACCTGGCTATAAAATATTTTGCTTTTTTTTTTTTTTTTTTTTTGGTGCTTGATTTTGTTTGTACTTTTCTCATTCTTGAGCAGCCCAGGACCCAAGCCCAGGGAATGTGCCACCCCCCCCACACACACACACTAGGCCTTCCCACGTCAGTTAAGGCAACCAAGACAGTCTCCCACAGCCATGCTCATAGGCCTTCTTGAGACTCTCTAGCCAGGAGGTTCAAGGTTGCGTCAAGTTTAAATTAACCATTACAGTGCCTAACTACTCTCCGAACATGTGGTGGAGGCATCCCATTGGTTAAGCCAGAACCTGTCATCCCCCACCCCCACTGAATCTTTACCTTTAAATTCGATTTATTTGCTTATTAGTGTTGGCATCTGTGTGTGTGAGAGAGTGCAGGTACCCCCAGAGTCCAGAAGAATGTGTAGGATCCTCCGGAGCTGGAGCTGGTTTTTGGGAGCTGCCTGACCCGCAACCGAATCCGGTCCTCTGGAAAATCAGCAAGCACTCTAAAGCGTTGATCCATCTGTCTAACGCATTTAAAAAGTACATAGTCACAGCGCGTTTGTGGACACTTCTCTGCTTGCCAAGCACCCTCCAGATGGGTCTCCTGACAAAAGGACCCTGGCCTGAGCCACGGCTGTTTTGGAATAATGATGAAAACTCAACTTTCAGGAGCAAACGCTGCAGTTCTTCTCCGCCTTTTACCTCTGTCAGACCACCCAGTCAAGTTCCTTAGGGGGTCAGTCAGTCATCTTACACCTACCAGCAGAGCCACGGCAGTACAGTACCCCTTATAAACGTGGAAGGGCAGTTCCTACCCAGCGAGGCCCCGGGGCCTCCACAGAAACGCAATTCCACGACTCACCTTGGGGAGCGTCCTCGGGCGCTCCTGAGCCACTGCTGCGCGTCGCCTCCATACTTTACGGTAAGCGCGGCGCGCAGGACGACCACGTGGCGGCGAAACACCGGTCGGCGGGAATGCGCGGAATGCGCAGTGCGACCTCGCGCGCCCCCAGCCGTGACCCCGGGACTCCCGGCGCGCGTTTGTGGGACCGCGGAAGCCAGCCGGGGGTCTGCCCTCGCGTCCTGCTGCGGAGCACTGCGGGGAGCAGGGACCCCGGGGAAGGCTGGGCACGTGAGGCCAGAAGACCTGTTTGAGAACCTGGGGCTAAATTTGCCCTTCCCGTTTGGGCCCCGCCGCAGCCGGCGTCCCACGATCTGGAACCCCTTTCCTCCCCCAGTGTCCCACTCCAAAGGTCCCACTGGCCTGGATTAGGAATGGAGACACTTGGGTTTTACAGGAAGCAGCTCGGAGGAGCCGTGCGCCCTGACCGCCTTCGGATTAAGGCTGGTGGCCAGGTGCCCCCAGTTGCAGCAGCTGCGCCCTGCCATCGCACGACGATCCGCTCGCCCTCGATTGGGCCACGTGGTCCTGCCAGGCCAGGGGTGGCTCTTGCTGTCCCGAGTAGTGCCCGCTCCCCATCCTTTTAGTCTGGGACCGGCCGTTTCCAGAGCCGGAAAGTCGACACATCCCGAAAGGATTTCAGGGTTCGGTGTGCTCAGGGAACCTGTGTTGGCGTTCAGAGAGCTGGGGGACCCAGCTGCCACCCCCTCCCTAAGGTTGCATCTCTACCCTGGGGGTCCCCGGAGCCAGCCCTGCCCCTCCAGGCGCGCGCGTTGGCTCCAGGTGTTGGGGAAGTGGGACTGAGACCGACTTGGCCGTGCACGCTCGGGGAGACGGGCTGAGTTACGCGTCCACGCCCGTGTTTAGCTTAAGGGTGCCTGAAATCGCGTAGCACGTGGGCTGCCATGCGCTCCCCGAAACGCCCGCAGGGTGCGGGGAGGGAAGTGGCAGCACCTCCGGAACCTTTGGGCCCATAGTGGGAGGGAAGCGACTGAAAGGCTGAATTAACAATGGCTAACTGGAACCCGGGCAGCCGGGTCCTTTCAAGTTGCCGCCAGGTACGCGGCTGCAGGTGACCCCACCCGGGTGCGTCCTCACCGCCCAGCCCTCTCCGGGAGCGACTACTGCCGGAGGCCCGGGATCGCCACCCGGCCCCGCACCCCCCCACCCCCCACCCCGGCCGAGCCCCGGGCTAAGCGGCGCGGGTTCCTCAATGAACTCGTTCCCTTCCCCCTCTCAATGAAGTTCCCACAGCCAGGGACGGTGGCAAAGGCAAGGCTACAACGGAGTTGTCTCTGTTTCTTGTCTCTCCTCTCTCGGTGGTGGCGGTGGTGGGGATCGAGGAGGCAAGAAATCGGAAAGGGGATTAAAACTTTGAGATTTTTCTGTCCAAATAACGTGGGCCCCTGTCAATTGGACGAGTGGCCTTTTGTCTGCAAAAGGTCACCCACAAATAAGCGCGGAACACTGTCAGCCCAGAGCGTGCAGTTCCTGCTTCGAGATTTTTTTTTTTTTTTTTTTAAGCCAGTGTGAAGTTAAAGTTGCAAAAGAAAGTGTGCTCGCGTGTGTGTTTTAAGTTACTTTTTCACCGAAAAGTGAAAGATCCCAAAGCGCTTTCTCTGAGATTCTTAAAGCAGTTGGCCAGGAAAGATCCCTGAACTGCTGGCCACCTCCAGGGCTGGGGAGCTGGACGCGCGGGGTTCCCCGGCCGGGGGATGGGCGCTCCTCGCCGGGTCCCAAATTCCTGCGCCTCCCCCCCCCCCCCCCCCACGGGTTCCTGGACGGCTCTGCACGCCCGCCAACCAGACTTGCACTTTTGCGCCCGTCCCTGAGCGCAGAGATCAACGAAGTTCCTCGTGGAGATCTGCCCGGTCCGCCTAGTAACAGCTCCGCGTCCGGATTGGCTCATGCTAATTCCAGTTTCCTGGTCTTTCCCGGGGTGGGAGTGAGGAGGGGGGGGGGTGCTGGCTGCGGGTCGCGAGCTCGTGCTGCAGGGTGGGCGAGCCCCTTTCTGCCCCGTTGCCCTCGGTGGCGCGCCCTGGCTCGGCTCGCCTGCCCCGCTCGCCGGCGCTCGGCCGTGGGTGAGAGCGCGCGGCCCCATAAATCATGCCTGCAGCCGCCCGGTAGGGATTTTATGAATGAAAAGGCAGCCGGGCCGCCCTCGTGCTTAGGTTAAGGCTCCCAGGCTTGGCGGGGCCATGTGGCCGGAGCAAGCGTGGGCGCAGTGCCCGGGCCACCCACCACCACCTTCGGAGCTGTAGTGGCATCACTGTCCCACAGGACCCGGGCATTAGGGACCCCAGTGTTGGGGGAGGAGCAGCGGGAGGAATAAGCCTCTGAAGGTGAAGGGGTTCGCGTCTTGCCTAGACGTCCCCTCGCTCCTTTCCCAGTTTCTTCCATTCAGTCGTAGGGACACGGAACTATCCCAAGGAAACGTGAATAATTAGCCTAACTTGGGGTCGATCACTATGAAAACTTTTTAGGCTGGAGAATCGGGTGGGCTAAGGTGGTGGGGGACCCCCCCCCCATTCTAAAGATATTTTATGTGACTCTGAATGTTAGGTTTTATTTAAACATCACCTTACCGGTGCACGCTTTTGTCTTGATACTCAAACACCTCCCCCCCCCCCCCCCCCCCCCAGGAACTCAAGAATGCGGCCGCAGCGGCAGTTCTAAAGGTGGAGGGACGGCCACTCCCCCGACGAAGCCAATCGGAAAGCTTCCGGTGGTCCGGTTCCTGGAAGGACGAACTAATACTTGCAGCGATTGAATTTTCTTAATTAAAAAACTAAATTAGGAAAGAGCCCATCATGGCTCAGCCTTTCCTTCTAAGGTTTATTATTATTATTATTATTATTATTATTATTATTATTATTATTATTATTATTATTTTCTCCTGGGTAAAGCTCCTGCAATGGAGGACGGGGATACTGGGGGACCCTGGCCGGGATGAACCTTCACCATAGGAAGGCAAACCGCAGATCCCACCCTCAGCGAGGAGGAATAGATGAAGGAAATAGTGGCCACCATCTTGAGCTGTTGCTGGGGGTTTATTTTATTTTATTTTATTTTATTTTATTTTATTTTATTTTATTTTATTTTATTTTATTTTATAGCGAGCACATTGCTAGGCTGGAGACCCTTTAAAGTTCGGAACTACCCATCTGGCCCTTTGCAACGACCTCCAGTGCGCCAGGATGGAGCTTAGGGCTCGTCCGGCATCTTCGCGTGTTATAGAGTTCCTGAATTTTACACGTGTTGATGAAATTGAAAGGAGATGGGGACGCCGGGAATTTCTAGGCAATCAGGCCGCCCGTGGGTGTCCTCGCGGCGTCCTCTGAAACGCGCCCATCCTCCCGGCTTGAATATAGGGTGTCCTTGCGCCCCCCCCCCCCCAGGGTTCCCCTTCCATTCATTCTCCCCTGGCTTGCGTGTGGCCTGGCTTCCCTCCTGGCCTCCCTCCTAGCTGTCCTGTCCAGTGCCACTCCACCTACCTCCACAGGTCTCAGAGGACCCACTTGGGGAAAGAAGACCACCCTCCCCCCCTCCCCTGCACCACTCTTTCCCAGCTAGGAGGGAAGCAGTCTCAGCGATTTGCATATCTACGAAGGTAGGGAGGGCAGGCTTTGGGCTGTCCCCCCTTGTTGCTCGCTGCTCCTGAGCCCCCTCCCCCTGCGCCCGCCCCGGCCCTGCCCCCCCTCCCTTTCTCTGCCCGCTTTGATCTCTGCTTAACAACAGTAACGTCACACGGACTACAGGGGAGTTTTGTTGAAGTTGCAAAGTCCTGCAGCCTCCAGAGGGCTGTCGGCGCAGTAGCAGAGAGCAGCAGAGTCCGCGCGCTCCGGAGCCCGGCAGTCGAGCGCGAGGCAGCGCGCGCGCTAGCAGCAGCCACCGGAGCCCAAAGCCGGACCACAGCCCTCCCCAGGCGGCCACGCCATGGAACACCAGCTCCTGTGCTGCGAAGTGGAGACCATCCGCCGCGCGTACCCGGACACCAACCTCCTCAACGACCGAGTGCTGCGAGCCATGCTCAAGACCGAGGAGACTTGCGCGCCCTCCGTGTCTTACTTCAAGTGCGTGCAGAGGGAGATCGTGCCGTCCATGAGGAAAATCGTGGCCACCTGGATGCTGGAGGTGAGGGGCTACCCAGGCTGTTGGCTTGGGACACCCTGGCAGCTAGTTGCCCCCACCCGCATCTTCCTCCCTTGTCTGCCTTTCCCACACGGGGTTGCCCCGGTGTGTTGCTAGGATTCGGGATTCTCAAAATAAATAGCTACACTTCGGGGCTTTTTGAACGAGGAAGGTGTGGGAGTTGGGGCGACGGGGATTCTTTTTCCTGGTGGGGGGTCAGTCGGGAAGAAGTGCCTTCGAGGGAGGACGGTGTCAGGGACACCACCGAGGGTGTGGGCTATCTTTTGTGGCCCCCGCTTGCGCCCCATTCCTGCAGTGTCTCGGCGGGGGCCGCCTCTGCGCCTACTTCCAGCTCGCGGGGGGGAGGGGGCATAGATTTGATTTTTAAATTAATATCCGTGGACACGTATGCAAGGGCCGCTTGTGCCAGTATTATGCGCCATCTTTGCTCCTTTATTGCAAAGCAAAAGTGTTTATTAATAACTGGGGGGTAGGGCGGGGAGCGGCCGCAGGGTCACTGGGACCGGCACGAGGGGCCTCGTGACGGTCGGGAGTCACTAAATAGGACAGTGCGAGGGATATTTTAGGGGAGGGGGGTTCCTTTGTTCAAGCAGCGGACCCCTGGGCACCCTGCACAAACTGCCCGGTCCAGAGAAAACGACAGGCTGCAAGGTCGCGTGGCCCCCTAGTCACTAGAGATTGATCGTCGTCCGCGCGGGTCTGCGCTTGGAAGAACGTGCCCAGGTCAAGCCTGGGGGACCAAAACACATTTTCAGATGTTCAGCAGGAGGCCCAGGGGCCCCAAAATATTTTAAAATAATTTTTGAAGTGAGGCATATTGCCCTTGCAGAGGCAAACGGCGCCGGCACCCAGCAAAAGGGGGGCCCCGGGAGTTTGAGTTGTTGGGGCTCACCCCCCGGTGTGCACCGAGCTCCTGACCCTCGGCCTGGATCAAGGGTCGCCCACCGGTGGTTTTCGGGCCGTTTTTAGGTGCCTAGTTATTTTTTAAATATTTTTAAATATTTTTTGAAAAGATGACGTCTGGGAAATGCGGCGCGGCGGCCTGGGGCGCCACCTTTGTGTCTCGCGTGCGCGCGAGCGAGCGGCGCCCAGCCCCCGGCGCCCCGCCAGCCCCGCGGTGGGATCTCTGGCTTGTGGCGGCCGAATTTCCACCAGGGTCGCGGTCTCGGTGGCCACCGCTGCCGCGACCCCCCTCCCCCTCCCGGCTCCAGCTGCCCAGGGACTTTCCCTTTCAGTTTCGGGGTGGGTGGTCACTGGACACCCGCGGGGCAGGAGGGCATCCTGGGGTGTTAGCCCCCGCGACCCCTCTCGGCGCCCTCGCCACCCATGCGCTCCGTGCAATCTAGGAAAGGGGTGAGGGGTCACTTAGAAAGACCCTTCCCCCCACCCCGCATCCCCCGTTGACGGTCACGGCCCGGGTCCTCGCAGGTCTGTGAGGAGCAGAAGTGCGAGGAGGAGGTCTTCCCGTTGGCCATGAACTACCTGGACCGCTTCCTATCGCTGGAGCCCCTGAAGAAGAGCCGCCTGCAGCTGCTGGGTGCCGCCTGCATGTTCGTGGCCTCCAAGATGAAGGAGACCATTCCTCTGACTGCCGAGAAGTTGTGCATCTACACCGACAACTCTATCCAGCCGGAGGAGCTGCTGGTAAGCGCTGACCCCTCCACCTGCCATTCCTCCTCAGCCGCGCGACCCCTGGGTGGTGGTAGCTGCAAATGGCAGGAAGCCCAGCCATCCACGGACAGATCTCCTGCCCCGTGGAAGGCACCCACCTTGCCCGACAGCAGAGTGGCAGCGGGCAGGATCCCTAACTCATTACACCTCTGCGCCCCCCGCCCCCACCTTCTTGGACTCCCCACCATGTCTGCCGTGTAGGCTCTCTGAAATGTGAACGGGGTGCGCCCCCTAGCGACGCGCGGGCCACAGTGCTGGCGGTGGGAGGTCTTTTTGTCTCTCGCAGCTTGGCGCTCCCTCAGTCTTTCTGCAAGCACATTTTGTTGTTTACTTCTATGGAGTCCTGAGTTGTCCTCACTCTTTAGACCCCCCCAACCAGACTGCCCTCTTTTTGACCCCTGCCCCATTTTCTGCAGCAAATGGAACTGCTTCTGGTGAACAAGCTCAAATGGAACCTGGCCGCCATGACTCCTCACGATTTCATCGAACACTTCCTCTCCAAAATGCCAGAGGCTGATGAGAACAAGCAGATCATCCGCAAGCATGCACAGACCTTTGTGGCCCTCTGTGCCACAGGTAGGGCCCCACCCCCGCTGTTCCCCGGGGAGATCTGACTCCTTGTGATTCCCAGGTTAATGCCGTTCCCAGGCTAATGCCTTTCCTTGCCGTCTTCTGTCTGTACCAGGTGATGGTCTCGGACAGGTTGGAAAGAGTCCCCCACTTTGTTCTGAACCCAAGGTGCAGGGAACTTGTCACAGATAGATGATGGTACTGGGTGGCCCCTTCTCAGCTAGGGCCACGCTGCAAGACCGTAGGGACCTAACAGGATAGCCAAGCCTCCCTGTGCCAACCTTTCTACTGCCAGGTAGCAGTGTGGCCGCTGAGTGATTTCTAAAAAGGGTTCTGTCTCTGCTCCTACCCCCACCTACCTCCTGCCCTGCCTGTGTTCTCAGGGAGTCCCAGCTACCCTCCCCCCCAGCTTCTCTCAGGCCAGCCACCTGCCAGAAGTGCCTACAGACGTGGGGCAAATGGCCATGGCCCAGTCTCATGGGGTAGAGCTCGGGTGGCCAGCTGAGGAGCTTAGAGGCCTCATCAAGGGTGCTTCAGGCCAGTCCTTTCTGCCTGAGTCCTGGGAGGGCTGGTCGGAAGCCTGAGAGACAAGAACCTCCAAGAGATGCTTCCTGGCCTCAGACCCAAAGAAGACAGGCTGACTTAACTCAGGGTGGACAACCATGCAGGAACACACACACACACACACACACACACACACACACACACACACACACACACCCTGCTGCCTCTGGGTGGTCCTGGTACTACAGCTACAGCTCTCTCCCCACCTCTAACTGGGAACCCTGCCCGGGAGGCTTAGCGATACTCAGAGGGCCCTGCATTCTCTCCTACCTGCTGAGGACCCCCTTCCCCAGTGGGTCCTGATCAGGCCCCAGTTGCTACAACTGTCTGGAGCTCGGTCTGAGTGGCCTGCGATGTGAGAGGGCCATGTAATGTCTTCCCCACCTGGCGTCCCCGTGGCACCCTCTTGTGTCTGGCAGTCCCCATCGCTGGTGTTTCTCAATAGCTGCTGTTGCCAGGATTTGGGGAATCTAGCCTACCAACTACCTGCTGAGGGTGCCAGCATCTCCCCAGAGGTGTACCAGAAGCAAGGGGGGGTGGCAGATGGGAGTGCCAAGGCCACTAGTAGCCTGGAAGGATCTAAGGGGCGGGGGCGGCCCCGCTGGCTGGCAGGGAGGCATCTGGCTGGGGTTCCTTTGGGGAGAGCAGAGCCCTTGGAAGCTCTAGGCAGCCTTTTATGGAACTGAAAGTGGCTTCAGAGAAGCGGCAGAGTTTCCCAGAGGTAACGTGAGGGATGGGGTGGCACGGCCTCCCCTAGGATGGTTCTGGCAGCAAAGTGCCTCTCCTGGGACCCCTGGATGCCCCCCAGGGGAGCCAGTACGCATTAATTAGCATCTGGTTGTGACAGGACCCAGCCCTCCCCGCTTTCTGCATGGCCTTTGTCTATGATAAGGTCCATTAAGAGCCCCTAAAAGACAGATGTACACAGAGGACAGCTTGGTAAACTGCAGTAGGCCACTGTTCTGGGGCCCGGAGGCTTTGTCCCTCTGAAGGAGCAACCACCTCCCTTGTCAGGAGGGGTGGGGGGGTGGCACTTTGGGAAGAAGCCAACTTAATGTCATGGTGACTGAAACGAAATAGATCTCTTATCCATGTGGCAAGAGTTCCCCTTACAGATGGGGGTCGAGGCATGACTTCTCCCTGCGAATGTGCCCCCTGCCTTGGACTTGGGTTCCTAGCTGTGTGAACACTGCTAGCCTGGGGTTGGGGTTGTTAACCCAGGCATGCGCAGGTGGCCAGAGCGCACCCTTGTGTGGATACAGACAATGGGAGATTGAGCTTAATGAAGGGTGTTGCTGAGTATCAGCCGTGCCACCAAGCTGGGTGACAGCTCCGTCAGCAGCAGCCAGGCAGTGTGAAGAACCAGGTGTGAGGGCTCCTTACAGGACATAACAGATCCTGCCACAGCACGTGGGAGGAGGAAAGGGAAGCTTTGGAAGGGGGCTGGGGACTCCAGCTGGAGTCTCACTCCCTGCAAAAGGGGTGTCTGTGATTTAAGCTTGACTCTGTAGCAAATCTTGGTTTGCTGGACTCAGCAGCCTGAGCTAAGTCCTTGGTGCTGCCTGGAGGTATTGTCTGGCTTCTGTGTGGCTCCTCTTCCGCCGGGTCCCTTTAGCAGAGCCAGAGCTGGGTACTCTGTAAGGGTAGTCTACAGTCTCAGCATGGCGGCCCTCTGCCTGATTCCCATTCGGCTCCCTCAAGCCCCCTGGACACCAGGCACTTGTGTCCTCCTTTGGCCTGTAACCCCTGATCCACAGGCCAAGTGGCTGCCCTGGTCACTGTGTCTTTGTTGGGTGTGACAGGAAAGCAGCCTGTGGGCTCGTCTTTGGTGATGGGATTGTATGGAGGAGCATTCCATCAGGGTGTGACACGCAACTGTGGGCTGCTGAGTCTGTTGGGTGGAAGAGGGGTCCAGCTGGTGACACCCTCCACAGTACTGTGGGAGAGCATGACTCCAACATTTAACGGTGGGGTTATTTTCCAACTGGGGGCCTACGCATATGAGGCATTTTGGACCCTGGCCTGGAGTTCTGGGGTCACATGCCCTTTCCCTAACCTAGGATCAATGAGCCAGGAAAGCAGCAGGTAAAGGATGCAGGGTAGCATTTTAATAACTGACGGCTTTGTGGAAGCTTCTGAGTCACTCCTGGATGGGGGTGTCCCTTCTGTGGAGTCCAGCCTAGCCTTCGAAGGACCTGGGCCTGACACCCTTGCAGCGGCTGAGAGGTGACCAGATGTCTCTAGTCCTTGGTGTGTTGCCAGGCCAGCTGTGGGACAGATATGATCTTCCCTGCCTCCTGCCTCAAGGGTTCTATGCTGGAATGCAGGTGTGCCCTGTCCTAGTTCTTAAAGGAATAGAGCCGTGAGTGACTCTTAAAGCTGATTGAGACAGGCGTTGCTGACAGTGTCGCTGCTCTGACCAGGCCCTCTTGAGCCTCCCTGGGAGTCTTAAGGTGTGTGTTTGGCGCCGCCTAGGGGTCTCGCAGGGAGCTGGAGTTGATGCAGGCACCGGAAGGATTGGAGGACCGCCAGGGGCTGTGCTGAGAATTGGGGGATGGGAGCTGAACCACAGGCCTGTGGCCGCCCCTGCTCACAGCCACCTCTGTCCCTCTCTGCTGCAGATGTGAAGTTCATTTCCAACCCGCCCTCCATGGTGGCTGCTGGGAGTGTGGTGGCTGCGATGCAAGGCCTGAACCTGGGCAGCCCCAACAACTTCCTCTCCTGCTACCGCACGACGCACTTTCTTTCCAGAGTAATCAAGTGTGACCCGGTGAGTGAGTCTCATGGAAGGAGCCTTCAACTGCAGGGGCTGGGGAACGTTGGTGGGGTGCAGTATCCAGACGCTATCACCAGGCCGGGGCCGTGAGGGCTGCCAAACCTGGGTTTCCGCCAGCCTCTTGCCAAGCTTGAGGTTTGGGGGCAGGAGGCAGGAACCATGACCCCAAAGGCGTGAGGGCCGTGGTGTGATGGCTGTGTTCCTGTTACATGGTGGCATGTGAAGCTGAGGCCTGGTCTGGCTACGATAGGACCATGTCTCCCTCGGTGCAGTTTTGGAAGGTTGAGTCTGCAAAGGACTCCAGTATAGACCTTCTGTGCATTCTAGAACTTTATTTGCAAGTGGGGTTTGTACCAGGCATGCCATGCCGCCTGTGAGTACCCCTCTCTGAGGGGCATGGCTGATTGTGCTTGGCGCTCTGGCTTCGAGGACATTGGAAGCTGGCATAGACAGGACAGGCAAAAGTCCAATTCTGGTTTGAACTTGAGCTGGGGGTTCAGTGTCAGTCAGAGCCACCATCATGTGGAAGGCTTCCAGGTGTGACAGCTGCTCTGCCCTGCCTGGCATCAGCCACAGGGGATACCCCTCCCCCAACTCCTGCACCTCTCAATTGTGATTCTTCATGTAATCCCCTTCTGCCCGAGCATCTGGGGCTCCTGAGAACTGAGAATAGGGTATGTGGACAGGTGGGAACCCTCAGGCTTCAAAGACAGAAGGGTGTCTGTGGGTCCACAGCAGGGCACCTGGGCCTCAGTTTCCCCATCTGTAAAATAGGGCCATTTGCCCTCCCACCTTCCTTAGTATTCATCAAACAAAGGGGGATCAATACATAAGTTCTGAATGTAGGGGTTCCCTCAGAAGTACTACTGGCTTGAGGAACTTGGGCAGTGCCCTAGCTTCATCCTGTTTAAGCAAGGCTTCAGTTCATGAGTCTCATTCCAGGCCCCACCAATGGAGGCACTGGAGCTGGCTTCCCTCAGTGGCCACCCTGGGCAGAAGGCTTGAGGGAGAGATAAGGTGTTCTTTGTGAGGAGTACAAGGTCTGGCCCAAGAGGGGGAACCTAGAGAGACAGAGGTGCCTGCCTCAGCCGTGCAGAACCCATCACAGATGGGCTTGGAAGCCTGGGTTCTCCTCTTGGCACCACCTACAGAGATTGCATTCAAGAAGATGCCATTTCTAGGAACTCCCTGTCTTGAGTGTGGGGGGTGTAGGGGGTGATGTCATGTAGGGCTGTGGGAGGCTTGGGGAGGAATTTCTGCTGGGCAGCCCTAGGGTGGACAAGCAATTCAAGTGGCCCACAGATAACAGCCAGCTGTCCCATGGCATTGGGGCAAGGCAGAGATTTCCAGGCTGAGAAGTGAAGTGGCCCTCTTGCTTTCTAGTCCCTTGCAGATTTGGGCATGGCTTGGGAAGTTTCTTCTAGCCTTGCCCTTAGCAAAACCTGCCTCGCAGGTCAAGGCCCTGGCCACCAGCCTCTGGCTAAACAAGGACCCCCTCCATCTCCGCCCGCCTCTCCAGGACTGCCTCCGTGCCTGCCAGGAACAGATTGAAGCCCTTCTGGAGTCCAGCCTGCGCCAGGCCCAACAGAACGTAGACCCCAAGGCTACCGAGGAGGAGGGGGAAGCGGAGGAAGAGGCTGATCTGGCCTGCACACCCACTGACGTGCGAGACGTGGACATCTGAGGGCTGCCGGGCAGGCGGGTGCCACCAAGTAGCAGCAGCCCGCGATGAGGAAGGAGCCAGCCCGGGTGCTCCTGACAGAGTCCCTCTCAGGGACATTTTTGTCACCAGAAGGGGAAGTTTTGTTCTCTTTGTTGGTTGTTTTTCTTTAATCTTTCTCCTTTCTGACTTAAGCAAAAGAGAAAAAAAAATACCTGAAAGCAAGAGAGTGAGAGAGAGATCTACGAGGATTCACATCACCCTAAGTGTAGGGAGGGAGGGGGATGCTACAAAAATAGGATTCTGTACCCCAGTAATCAGCTAGTTTTCTATTAATGTGCTTGTCTGTTCTAAGAATAGGATTAACACAGAGAAAGTCTCCGGGAGAATTTTGTTTTTTGTTGTTTTTAAATGTGTTTAAAACAAAAACAAAACAAAAAAAAAAAAGACAAGAAATATTGCTTTAAAAAAGATGGGAAAAAAAGCAAACCGTTGTTAAAGTAGAAGAGAGGATTTTAGGTAGAGAAATGTACTCTGCTTTGCTGAAAAGGCACAGCTTTGGCACAGCCCTCAGCCTCACTCCCCTGCTTGCTCAGTGCAGTCACCTCTGTTACCTGACCAGGGGCGGTCAGACCTCTTCACCTTATCAAGGGTCAGTGCGACCTCTAGCGGTCTCATGGCGTGTGGCACCCCCCCCCCCCCAGGGCTCACCTTTCGTGCCCTCTCCCCTCTCCCGACCTGCAGGTTCACAGAGCACCAGCCACACAGCCTAGGTGTCCCCCTCTATGCAGTATGCTCCAGTAGAGAGGGGCTGATATAGTGACATAATATATTCTATTTTTGTAATCTTCCTATTTTGTAGTTCCTGTTTAAAGAGATGCTGGTTTTTGGCCTGACGGCCCTGCAGCCCGCTCACATCAGGTTAAACCCACAGCTTTTCTTTCGTCGTCTGTGTGTGTGTGGTCTGTTCTGTTTCATTGTGTTTTCCTTATCCGTGTTCCAGAACCATTCCATTTTCAAAGCACTTTTGGTCATCTGGCTGGAGGCAGTGTGGCTGCTGTGTGTGTCTGCGGGGGGCTGGGGGTTCTGATGGAATGGTTGGGGGGGTGTCCACACAATTGTTCAGGTGGCTGCACAACAGGTGTGTGGGGCTGGTGGCATGGGGTGCTTGAGGAGTTCTGCTGGGTCAGGAAGAGAGCTCTCTTCTCGCACCGCCGGGGTCTGTCCTTACAGAGAAGTTGAGTTGAAAGGATGCTTTGGTGCCAGGTGGTGTTTGGAAGTAGGGACCGTGGGGCATTACCTGGACAGAGAGGCGATTCGGGGCGACACTTAGGGAGGCTTTTAAACACTAAAATGTCTAATTTATACTTAAGGCTACAGAAGAATATTTATTGGGAAGGTCTGCCCATGGCCAGTGTGACTCCTAAAACAATGCGACCTTCCTTGGTTCAAGCGCACGCCTTCTGCCCTTGCTGGCGAAGGCTTGGTGCAGTGTCTGAGAGAATGGTCTTTTATTGGGGAGAGGAGGGTCTCCAAAACCACACAAAGACAGGGATTTGGTCTGCTTAACTTTCCCAACGCAAATGGCCCCATCGGAGAGCCATCCAAACTGAGGAAAAGTAGGGGACTCCAAATGAGTTTGATCCTGGCACATTCCTGCTGCCGCCCCCAGGTCAGCACCAGTAGGTAATTTGCACGCCTTGACTTTGTGCCTTTCTATTTAGGAAGTGTTGAAGGGAGGTGGAGAGCGGGAGGCTGGAGAGAGGACGTGAGGGAAGAAGTGTGGAGGGTTAGAGACCACACGGGACAGGCTGCGGCCCCTTTCACATAGCGCTGCTACCGATGACTCCCAGCATCCCAGACGTTCAGAACCAGATTTGCGTCGCTTTGTATCTTTCACGTTGTTTTCGCTGCTATTGGAGGGTCAGTTTTGTTTTGTTTTTTTTTATGATGTCATAGATTGCCATGTTCAAGTTTTAATTTCCTCATAGGAGAGTGTATTTACAGATGCCCTTTTTTTTTTGTACCTTTTTTATTATTATTATTGTGACCAATTTTGGCTTAATGTGATTACCGCTGTATTCCAAAAAGAAAAAGAAAAAAGAAAAAAAACAAAACAGGTTCGTGTTCATAATACCTCATGTTTCACCTAGCCATGCATGGGCCTGGCTGGCAGTCTGCCTCCTGGGAACCCTGACGGGGACCATCCCCGTGCACCTGTCATGCTGGGCCCTTCATTTGATCTGGGACATAGCATCACAGCAGTCGGGGCAACTGTATTGTTCTTTGTTAGTTATCAATATTGTTATATTTGTAGCGGCCTGTTGTGCATGCCACCGTGCTGCTGGGCCCAGAGGAATTTGTTCTGAGTCTCTGGTGCATCATTTAATCTGTTAGGTTCTAGTGTTCTGTCTTATTTCGTGTTAATTACAGCGTTGTGCTAATTTAAAGACTTGGCCTTGGCGAAGCCAGCTGCAGTGCTGCAGGCCACCCCCCTCCCCCCAAGTTCCCTAGCAAGCTGCCAAACCAAAATGGTCACCTCCATGGTCACCACCAGCCTAGCCGAGGCGTCCAAACCAGGCAGGACCCTTGAGGGCTGCTGTGTCCATGGTGATGGGTGAGGGTTTGGCCAAAAGGCCAAATGCTGTTAGTGGGTCCACAGAGTCTGCCCTGTGACATGAAAGGCTTTGAGGGGCTCTGGCTGGTGGCCAGGTTGGGCTTTGTGTATTTCTGGTTGACACACCATGGCGCTTCCCAGCATGGACATGTGACCAGCATGGTCCAGGAAAAAAAAAGACACAAAAAGTCTAGAAATAAAATTGGTAAAATCCCAACTTTGGTGTTGCCTGTATTTTATGGGCCCTGGGGACAGAAGTGGGGGTGTGCCATCTTGATGCCACAGCCTTCTGGGGCCCAGCCTGTCCACTGCACCCCAGGCTTTGGTGGCATCTCTGGCTCTGGCACCAACCTGGGACTCCCAAAGGGAAGGGTGTTTGCAGGTGGCAGCTAAGACCAGGGTGGGAGCCTCTGGCGTCAGGGAGGCCAGCGGCAGCCACTGATCAGAAGCGGCTCCGGGCCTGTTGCTGCCAGCTTGCCCTCCTGCTTATTTGCAGATAGAAGATCAACAGAGCCCGCGTTCACTGCCCCTCGTCTGGCACAAATGGGTGTTTGCTCTGGGTGAATCACCGCCCTTAGGTGCTGCCAAGCGCCCAGGGAGTGATGCTTAGTGTTAGGGCCAAGGCCCGAGGTGGCCTTTCACACAGTTCCTGGAGACTTGAGTGGCCTGGCAAGACTCCTGGGATGTCCTCCAGGTGGCACTTGCTCATGACTAGCATTGTTTCCAAACCCTGGGGGGACATGTGGTGTGACCTGGGTCTGCTTTAGGCATCACCTTCTACAAGGTGACCTTTGGGTCTCAGGTTGGCTGTTTTGGTGCCAGGCTGGCCCCTGCCCTTCTGGAAGGTGGGGGATGTAGGTAAAACCTGCCCTGAATGATGAAAGCAGAGAGGCTTCAAGGGGAAGGAGGCCCACAGTGACCCAAAAGCAAAGGAGAACTCTGCCAGCCAACCTACCCCATGAGAGTTTAAGGGGAGCACCAGAGCCTGAGGGGATTCCAGTATCCTCTCTGGTGGCTTATGAAGGCACAGTCCCATCTTGGGCAAAGTTGCCTGAGGGCAGGGTCCAGAAGGTATTTTGGCAGTCCAATTCCATATAAGCATCAGAGCCTGGTATAGGGCTGGGCACCCAGGGACTGGCAGACCCCCTCTGCCCACAGCCCCACAGTGTCCAAGAGAAGGATCATGGGGCCTTCAGCGTTCCAGGAAAAGGCCAAAGGGCATTGAGGTGGAAGAGTGCTTTCCCCCTGGTTCTTAGAAGCGCTGGAGAGCCAGCTTGTCATGTTCGGGTGGGCTGATGGGAAGGACGGTTTGGGAGAGACATGAGACAATGCTGGGATGAAGCAGCAGGGTAGCAAGTGCAGCAGAGTAGTCCTAGGAATCCACACACAAACAGCCAGGGGCTGAGCACACACCCATGAAGACAGGCTGCGGGTGGCGGCTGCTGCTAGTTTCCACCACTGCCTCCCAGGGTGGTCACAGAAGGGACACTCACGTGGAATGGGCAAGCATCGCCACCATTGCAGAGGGCTCACGCCATGGTGCGGTCTCTAAATGGCTCATGTTTTCATCCGATGGTCTGTGATTGCCCAGTTTATGGCTGACATCCAAGCCTCTTTCCTTGGCTCAGCAGTGAGAGTCCAGGATCCGACCCTCAGATTTAACTGATAACCCTGGAGGGTAGACACTCCTGTTCATGGGGGGATGGTACAGTAGCTCTTGAGGGCCCTCGAAGACAAAGACTCAGGGAGTGAGCACACCCTAGTGTCTTCTCAGAAGCCCAAAGGCTGGTCCTCACCATCCTCTGCACCTACCAGCTCTATGGGTCCCTGCCTGCTGAGCCAACTTACCTCTGTCAGATGAGTCAAGGTCGTGAACATGCCTGGCCTGAACCCTGAAGATTGCCTCTGGCTCCCCATTCTGGGTTACCCCACTGCATTTCTGCTTGGTCTTACAGGGCTCAGAGTGAGTATATAGGCCCTGTGGAGCTTCTGCATGACATGACACAGGTCACTGTGCGGCCTCTCCTTTCCAATTTGACATCCTAGGACTATGTGGGATGAAGTTAGCCTGTTGTCCATGGGTCACCCCAACTGCTGTATTTTGTCCTAGAAAGCGGGCTAACTTCGCTGACCCTACAGGGGATCTGGGATGCTGGGGCCCACAAAATGCCAGCAGTTGGGGCTGAAGACTCCGTGTGGGACACGAGGCAGAATAGGATTGTGTGTCCTCCCCGAAGTGCCCCAGAGGCCTTGCCACGGCAGCCCAGGAGGCAATGTCTATTGGGACCTGGCCTGTGTGTGTAGTGGCAAGGCTGTGCAGGCCATACAAGGCCAGTGCTGGGAGCTGGCACCGCCAGGTATACTTCGCTTGGCAAACCTGTACTTGGGTTGAGGTGGCAGCCTGTGTGTGTGTGTGGTGTGTGGTGCACGGGCTGGTCAATACGAGGTGGACAGGCTTGTGTACAGGGACCCCACATGGGCACAGCACAGTGCTGGTGGGATAGAGCACCCCTGGCCGAGCTGAGCCGGCCTCTGGGCTGTCATCCCAGGAATGTCTTTGATCAAACAGTTGTGCAAGAGGGCAAAGCAAGCGCAGGACCTCTAATCCATTCCCAGTCCCCTAGCCTGCAGGGCCCCACAGCCCGAGCGCCACACCACAGGGCTAGCAGACAATAGCCTGGGGGTGGTGAGGCTGGTGGGCAGGCAGCTCGGGGCTGCAAGCCTTGGGGCCCACATCCGGGGGCATTGTTCCTCAGGGCACAGAAGGAGGATGGAGAGAGAGAACACAGAAGGGGCTGAAGGGACTTCACTGGGCCTGGAGCCTCTCAGAGTATGGCATCCATTAAGCCTTTGAATTGTCCCCAAGAGACAGCTAAGACAGCCTGTCAATCGGGAGCCACTTTAGAGCTGAGAGGCCTCACCTTTAAGGCTATCTGTGTGGGGACTCCCACCCCTGTTTTGTCCTGAGTGGCTAGGCCAAGCCTGTAACACCTGGGCTTTTTTGGACACCTACCTTAGTTCCTTTCCCTGCCACTGATAAATACCAGACAGAGGCAACTTAAGGGACAAAGGTTTACCTGGTTCACAGGTAAGGTCTATCATGGGGGGAAGGTGTGGCAACAGGCACTTGAGGTAGCCGCTCACGGCCACACGGAAAGCGGAATGAGACTAGCACGGGTGCTCAGTTCACCTCCTCCTTTTTACAGATAGTCCAGACGCCAGCCCACAGGATGCTGCCTCCCACACTCGGAGTGCGTATTCCCATCTCAATTAACCTAGTCAAGGCAATCCTTTAGGGGCCGGAAGGATGGCTCAGTAATTAAGAGCACTGGCTGCTCTTCCAGAAGACCAGCTTTGGTTCCCAGCGCCCACATGGCAGCTCACAACCATCCTCCATACCTCTGTGGGCACCAGGCATACGCACAACACACAGACACACGTGCAGGCAAAACATGCATGTGCATACAGTTAAAATTTAAAAAGGAAGAAATCTTGGCTGAATATTCAGCTTTTTTTTTTTTAAGAGTTGGTCAACATTTTGATTTTATAATGGACAATGCTGAGAGTGTCACTTCACATAAATACATATTACAAAAGGGCAAAAGTGTGCTTAGGGCCAGTTCAGAAATAGTTGGAAATTCTGTCCTAATCCCAACACAAATTTCACTGAACAATTGTTTTTTTGTACGGTATAAGATTTATTGTAGAAAGGGGGAGGGAAGAGAGAGAGAAGGAGGATTGCCCCCAGGGAGACAGGCAGAGAGAAGCTGGGACCAGGAAGAACAGAGCTGAATAATTTTTTTTTAACGAAAATAAAGTCAATAATTTAAAAAAATCAGACATTCTAATACAACGCAATCCACAGTCATGCCAATCTGATGCACGGTGAGGCCTGAGAGCACAGCACTTTAGAAGCCTTGGTTTGCCAGAAGGAAACCATGGTGTCTCTGACTCCAAGTTTAAGGTGTTTCAGGCGGTACGCACTGGTGAAGATGGAATGACCTCCTGCGGTACAGCAAAAGTGAGGCTGCAGCGAAGTCATGGGCTTCCACAGGGCTGAGTGTTTCGAGAAACACCCCTAGATTCACTCCAGTAAACATCTGATATGGTTTTGTTTTTAGACAGGATCTCACTAGGTAGCTTTGAGTGCCTGGAAATTACTACGTAGACCAGGTTGGCCTCAAACTCACAGAGATGTATCTGCCTGTTCCTGGGTGCTGGGATTAAAGGTATGTGTCACCGTGACAAATACATATGATTGCTTAAATTAACTTCTTACTCACTGAATGTTCAGAAATCTTTTCCTGTTCTCATTTTTTTTTTGTGACCCCTACATTGGGTTTTGCTGACCCTACACAGAATTGGGACCCCTGGTTTAAGAAGCTGGGCACGAGATTACCCCTGCCTTATGCACAGCAAGCAGGGAAGACCTGGAGAGGCCTCTGATCTCAGCCAGGTCCCTCTTCCAGGGACCTGTGTGCATCCCAGAGCTGCAGAGGACCGCACCAAGGTGTAGAGACCATCAGCTCTCTCCCCAGTAGCAGGCAAGGCTGTGCACACTGACATCAGGGGAGGTGGGGCAGCTGCCTCTAGCAGACCCCTCCCCGTCACTCCCATGCAGAGCCATGAAACCCAAGACAGGGCCTCCTGGTTGCTCCCTAAAGCGTGTGTGGCACTCCTGCCACCTGCCAGCAGAGGCGGCGGACTAGGGAAGCTAAGTCAATCTCTCAGGAAGGAGCTCTAAGTGTCAGGCTGGGTCTGGACTGTGTGTCCAGCTCCTTTACCCTAGAAATAGAGAAAGGACAACTCTGACAGGGAGAGGGAACTGGTGTTGGTGTTGGTATCATTTGCCCTGACAAATGATAAATGACATGGTTTAGACAGCAGGGGCTCTGTTCAGGGGGCAAAAGGGTAAAGCTGTGTATGTCTGGTGGTTCCTGGCAAGCCTTAATGTCACTCCTTCTGTTTGCAAGCCGCCTTAGGTCTGAATGCTGCAGCTTCTCATGACCTCCTCCTCAGGGTCCCCTTTCCCCCCTTTTTTTTAAAGCCACTTGCTTCCCAACCTTTCAAGCTAATAGTAAGTATGAAAGGCCCAGCCATGCTTGAGTAGGCCTTTCCTGCTCAAGTTCAACCACAAGCAAACTCCTAGCTGAACAAGCTGGCTAAGACCCTATTCCAAAGTAGACTCCTTTAGTTAGTAGCAGGTCTCTGAGCTCTCGGGTTCAGAAGCTCTGGTTTCAGGGGTACAAACCCACTGGCAATAGCTGGGAAAATGGGGGCAGGCACTCCAGCTCTGCAACCCAGGGTTGGGCAGGGCCTTGTGGAAAGCATCCCTGGGAAGCTGATCACAGAAAGGCAGGAAATGACTTCCGTTCCGCTGGAACACTAACCCGAGGTCACCTTAACTCTTGGGAGATGTGAAGCAAACCCGAGATGGGGCCCGATGACAGACCAAGGTGCAATTCTGCCAAAGTCTGTCTCGGTGAACCAATGAGTTTAGAGGTGTGAGTTATGGGAGCATGGGGACCTCCAAACGGCTGCATCATCACAAAGCCCCATTTACAAAGACGATCTCATGGGAGCTGCATGTTGGAGCCCCTCTTCCAGTCAGCCTTCTACTTCCTAAGCTCTCTGCTGCTGGGGACAGCCAGCAGAAGCGATGGCTGGAATCCTGGGGCACACCCTGCCTCCTAAGGGGTGTCATCTCCCTTACAACGCCCATAGATGTGGTTATCTCTGTGACTACAGAGACCTACCCTACATCTCTACGCTGTCGTAAGAGGGTGGTGGAGTGAGCTACAACACAGAGCCACTGGCTGCTGACCTTTGGGGGCTGGCTCCTGGTGGGGTATCCCCCACCACCTCATTTTCTCTGTCAGCCTGTGACTTCAGTTTCCTGACATAAACACTAATTCCTGTTCATAAAGCTGGGAACAGTCACGGACAGTGGGGTGATCCCGCTAGGCAGTACACTTTGGGCATCTCCAGGCTGAACCCCAAAGCTGACCTGGGAGCCTCCCTTCCAGGAAGCATCCGAGTCACCTCCTCAGGCAGCTGAGTGTTCCCCTACCTCTGGGGTCCCAGAAGGTGGCATCTATCACGAAAGAGCCCACATAGGGCCTGGGACATCTGACACCCCTTTCAGGCACTGTTCCTTCTGACACAGATTTCTTCTTTATAAATCCGTGTTTTCCTGGATCTGCTAGATGGAAGACCTGCCACAGGCTCAGATGAGCAAGAAACGAGGCTGGAGCAGGTGGCACAAACTCCTCCCACCCCGCTGTGCTTCGTCCAGCCTGGAACTGGTCCTCATGGCGACCACCGGCAGTCACCCCACCAGCCCGAGCTCTCTGCAGTCTTGCAGATGTAGACTTAACTGGCATGAGGAAAGTCAGGACTTGGCAAACAGAACTTCCAGCCTCCTCCTCCTCCTCTTACTTTGAGGTAGAGGAGGAAAAGGCTCGGGATGGATACAAAATAAAGAGGAAATGAGCTGTGGTCTCTAGGGTGTGGGTCGCTCCATTTAGCCACTGTGCAGCTGAGAGCAAGCTTCAGCCAGAGCTTCTGGGGTGTTTGGTCTCACACTGTAATTCTACAAACCCAGACTTCACTACCAGCAGGGCTGGGGAGAGGGGCAGGTAGTTAAGAGTGCTTCTCTTGCAGGGGCCCCAGCTTCAGTCCTAGGCACCACATGGTGGCTCACAACCGTACTATCTCCAGTTCTAAGGGACCTGACGCGCTCTTCTAATGTCTGCAGGCACTGCCCCCATGTGGCGGAAATAAAAACCTCATACACATAAAATACAATATATATAGAGAGAGAGTGTGTGTGTAGATAGGTTTTTCAAAACAGGGTTTCTCTGTGTAGTCCTGGCTGTCCTGAAACCTCTCTGTAGACCAGGTTGGCCTCAAATTCAGAGATCCCCTGCCTTTACCTCCTGAGTGCTGAGATTAAAGGCATGGGCTGACACCACCCAGCAATAATCTCTATATTAAAAAAAAATCCTTACTAACACTGGCTTTGCACAAAATTTCCTTCTGTATTTAGCCTCAGGGTGAACTCAGTCCCACAGCTACAGACAGGCTTGTCTGTTAGGGGTCACACAGTGTCTCTGGAGGCCTGAGGCCCTGCTGAACTACTTTTCTCACTGCTGTGACAAAACGTTAGGAAAAAAGCAAGATAAGGGATGGGGGGGTATTCTGTCCACAGTTTACAAGGTGGCAGTTATCATGGTGAGAGGCATGGCAACAGGAGACCGAGGCCCACAGCCATATCGTACCCTCAGTCAGGGAGCAGGGAGACAGCAACGCTGGTGTTCAGCCTGCTTTCTCCCTTTTCAGTCCAGGATCCCAGTTCATGAGACACAGCACATTCAAGGTGGGTGTTCCCTCCTCAGCTAAGCCTCCACAGTGTTGCCTACAGGTGTGTCTCCTAGGTGATTCTAATACTGTCAAGCTGTCATGCAGGCAGCAAGCTGAGAAGAAAGACATGGAAGGAGCTAGCCCAGACACCTCTGCCTCAGACCCCTCGCTTCCAGCATGTGATCAAGTGATGATCATACGGGATGACATCAAAGCTGAAGTCATAGGTAGGTCACTCTGTCAGAGCCACCCAGAACAGGGAAGATGGGTGACAGAAAACAGTCTGCCAGTGGGGACACTTATAGCTCACAGGACATGGTCTGAGAAGGCAGGGGACTGGCCAGCATCTCGGAGGTGATAGCAAGGACACAGGTTCCACTGGTGCCTGACCGCCACCTTCAGGTGAGGCTTCAGCACAGCTCCCTATAGTTGCCTATGATAGCTCCAAGTGTCATTTTCATGGTACGGCATCCAAAGGCGGCAGCACCCTTCTCATGACTGTGTCACCTTTCACAGCAGACAACTGTCTCAGTGGTGGGATGAGGGGACATACCCACATAGAAGATGGTCCTGGCCACTCTGTCTATTCTGTAATCAGAAGACCTTTTGGGGTTATCAAAGCACCCGGAGGACTAGATGGGGACCTTGAGAAAAGGTCAGGTGGGCAGAGGTCAAGGCTTGTAGAGGAGCATGGATGGTATCAGGCAGGCGGCTACGGCTCTGCTGATGGGCAGGAGCTCTGACACCTGATGTGCACTACATGAGGGGAATAGGAGGGAGAGACGAAGGGAGTTAAGGAGGTGAGCAGGCAAGAGAGGAGAGGAAGCAGTGACTGCTACCTGTGGAATCAAATCCAAGCAGGATGCGACAAGCACAGCACACCCACACCTTGATACCTCACCATCTTGACACTTACTGGAGGACTGCAGCAGCTGTCAGTACAAAAGATCCCAGACAGACTATTCCTTTAAAATGCCCTATTTATTCTTTTCTCCAAATAGAAAAGTAAAATATGATCAAAACAGCAGCCACAGCCCTGTGAGCTCAGTACCCAGAGAAGCACACTGAAGAGCACCTGATCCTGGGAGCAGCTGGAAGAATGGTGCTAGACATCTGAGAGGCCACCACCAGGCTCAGGAAGCCAGATGCTTGATGCCGTGACCCTCAGGCACCAGCACCATTCCTCCCTCTGGCTCGGCTGGACTGATGGACAGAGGAAAGGGCTCCAGCTGTACAAAGATGCTGTGAAATGATGTTAAAAACAGTGTCCTAGGGCCACAGGCCTGAGACCCCAGCACTCAGAAGGCTGGGGCAGGAGGATCACCCTTTGAGGACAGCTTCCTGAGAATGTCTCTAAAATTTAAAATTAATAATAATAATAATAATAATAACCCCAAACTCCACGTGGCATGCATCCACAGTGACCTCTTCACATCATGCTCTGGAACTGAAGTAGGGACAGCCAGGGCACAATGCGGCCACCCAAGAGGGCGTAGCAACACCTGCTGTCATGTGTGTCCACACCTGTCCTCCCCTGCCAGCTCACCTTACACCTGCCTGTAAATGCCATAAAAGACACACAAGCCGCTGTAAAAGGAAGTAGTGTCAGCCAGGCAAGACCCTAGACGCTCACAGTGGCGACCACTCTCTAGCCCTGCTTTGGTTCCCAGTAGCTCCCCCACTGCCACTTTTTGTTTGTTTTTGAGGCATGGTTTCTCTGTATAGCCCTGGCTGTCCTGGAACTCACTCTATAGACCAAGCTGGCCTCAAACTCATAGATCTGCCTGCTTCTGCCTCCTGAGTGCTGGGATTAAAGTTGTGCAGTACCACCACCTGGTTCTATTGTCACTTCTTAGCGTTTAGAGCTCATCCCACACCTGTTTGGGGGCAGCATGAAGGCCATGCCTCAGCTGCTCCTTGGGAGCAGGCTGGCCCTGTGTTCTCAGCTGGGCATCCAGAGGCAAACCAAGTCCAATGGAGCCCAAGTCCTGTGCACACTGCAGGAATCTGTGCACACTGCAATGAGGGCCCATGCTGGAGGCAGAGGCACCATGTGGCATTTTTGGTCACAGATCTGGCATGGCAGCCAGCTCTGCTGCCAGACCCTTAGACTAAATGGTTCTATTTCATCATCTCTTAATCCAGAATATATTCACCTCTGGGGCTGCCAGAGGGATGGAGTGAGACACAGGAAGCCCAGGTGTGGCCAGCAGAGGCTCAGTGGACAGCAAAGAACCTGCCATAGCTTCCCATTAGCCAACTTCACATCAGCCTGCCTCTCTCTAAGTCCCACCTTCAGAGTGACCCTACCCAAGACCTCTGGAATGACAAAGCCACTCACTCTGGCCAGTGGCAAGCAGTCTCTTGAGTGTACTGCCACTGTGCAGAAGGCAGGGAGGTCAGACCTCTGCAAACCACCCCAGCAGAGCCCCAGGGAAGAGGCCAAACTGGTCCTTCCACAGAACAATGGGTGCGTCAGGTTCGCCTTTAATCACTCTTGATGTTCAGTGCTCTTCTATGAGTCCTCAGAATGCAAGTCCAGAGCCTCCTGTGCTCACCTTGAAGTCTGGCTGCACGTTGAGCAGTGAGCACAGCTGAAAGCAAGCACACAAGAGACCGAGCCTTACACTCCTGCCCTTCTGCTCAGGTTGAGGACACACCTCTGCTGGCTGCAGCTTTCCCTATCCAGGCATGAGCCCAAAGGCAGTCACCACACCCTCCCAGCCCATTTTCCGTCATTCTACAAGGGGAGAAAAATGAGTTCCTCTGGGTCTATACTTGCCCAAGAGTGCCATCACGTGAATACCAGGGCTTGCACAAGGCCTGCCTTCACAGCACACTCAGGTACACCCCACAGACAGGGGCTGTGGGGCACAAACCTGCCGGAACTTCCCTCTGATTCTGTCCAGGTCTTCATGGAGCTTCTCGTAAGTGGGATCATCATAGGGGAAGTGCTGCAGCAGGGTGATCAGTGCCTCCACCACCTTCATCTTCCTGCTGGGATACACAGGGAAAGGAGGCTGCATGCCCCACTCCATGGCACCTTCAGAGCAGCAGACAGGCTAAGCTCACCTCCCTGCACTAGGCGGTGCCGGCCGCCACCTGCTGTGGAGCAATGGCTTCCCAGAGGGCTCTTACTTCCCCTGGGGAACTGCAGGCCGGAGCAACGGGGACCAAAGCAAAAGGAGGGCAGCCAGGCTCAGCTGTGACTGCCACCCAGTGGCGGCATGAACAGCTAACAAAATTCCTCCTGGATCAGTCTGCCCAGTCGCTCCTAAGTTAGGTCTCCTTGACTGCCACCGGCTCACACTAGAGAGACCAGTAGAGTCAGTCTCCATGTCCTTCAACCCAAGTACTTGGGAGGCAGGGCAAGAGGAGCTATTTGAGTTTGAGGACAGCCTGGTCTACATAATGAGTTCCAAGACAGCCAGGCCTAAATAGGCAGACCCTGACTCAAATTTTAGAAAAAGGAAAGGAAGCCCGTAATTCATGTGATGGATATTCAGGGAGGAAATCCCAGAACTCTACAATTAATCACAAACACCTTGTTCTTATTTTTGAATATGACATGGGTCCTAGACACGCAAAGAATGTCAGATAAAAGGGTAAGTCCCACAGGCAGGGAGCTGCCATTCTCCTGGCCTGGTTTGCTGGTACCCTCCTCTAGGTCCTCCTGTGCCAGGCCAGCAGGTGTAGGAAAATCACTCAGTGACAGCCTAACCCTAAGCCTGTGCACCACAGGGCAATGTGCCTTTCACTTCAGGATTCCTCCCAAGCTCAGGACAGGCAGATGGGGCAGCTCATTGGGCCAGGGCAGGCAGAGCACAGTAAGACAAGGTACCAAAGCCAACACAGCTCAAAGAGCAGTGACATTCACTAGGGGCTGTGTGTGCCAAAAAGGAATGCCTCAGGTTGAATTCTGGCTGCCTGTGGCGGTACATGTCTGTGAGCCCAGAACACAGGAGGCTAAGGCAGAAGGATGGCTATGAGTTGGAGGACAGTCTGGGCCACAATGTAAGCCCTGTCTCCACAGGAAAAACAAAAACAAACCTTCATTCTGGTTGGCTATGAGACACCATGGACAATGGAGCCATCACTTTTCTTTTCTTATCCTGCTGTCCTGGAACTATGTAGACCAGGCTATCCTTGAACTCACAAAGATATGCCTGTCTGCCTCGTTCCAGTGACACTGTTGCAGTCTGTTTATGCAGTCAGGTGAGAAATGGACAGCTAGGTAGGATCCGTCTGACATTAGCTGAGGTGTGGTCACCCAGTGCTCATCAAGTACCCATGAGATGCCTGGCACATTTTATTTATTATTCTGTGAACAACAACTGTTAAGCTGGCCACTGTTATTTTCTGTATGTCTCAGATGAGAGTCAGTACTAATGATGCAAGGTAACTATGCATACATTAGGAACACTTAGAGCTCCTCCTGGCCTTCGTACTGACGATGCACTGATTGAGAGGTTGGGAGGGAAAAGGAGGTGTGAGGGAAAGGAGATAGGGAGCCCCAGCCTCACCTGTCTTTGTCACCAGCGCCACCATGTAGGAGACATTTCCATGCAAGAGCAAAACCCCGGTAGCACCCAATCTGTGAATTGAAAAACAGCCCAGAGCGAAGGTGGTAAGCACTCAGCCACATCATACCAGTTACCAAGATCTCAAAGCACAGGGCTGGGCAGAAGAGGGCTTCCACACTGCTTCTTCAGCTATTCTGGAACCTGTGAGTTTCGGGCAATGGAAACTGAACAGTGATGGTCCCAGTAGGGCAGCTGGGCCCCAAGACAACAGCGGTGCTGCTCACCCTCCACACACATGCTGTGAGCTGGCTCCTGGCCCTCGTCCACGATTCGTGGATAAGCAATGGAGGGAAGGACAATGCTCAGCTTCTGAGTCTAGTTTCGGAGACTGAGTAGAAAAGGCAATGACACTGCTGCCTCGCTCTCTTGTTCTGGAGTTCTGTGAGGACACCTGAGCTGAGGGTACCAGTCACATGGTGTGTGACCTCAGGGATAGAGCCCGTTGTCCTGCCAAGCCTTCAGATGAGACTGGAGCCTACCGACACATGGCTCCTTACCTGCTGACCCTAGGATACTGTGTGGTTGTTTCAGGCCCGTCAGTCTGTAGGGACCTGCTTTGTGGCACCAGGTATCTGATACCCCACCATGACTTCCTCTGCCAGTCAGGGTCAGTGATCTGGAAGAGGGGCTAAAAGGCAAGGGGAGAAAAACTATGGAGCTTATGGACTTTCCTTATAAACATGGCACCCCTCTGGGTGAAGGCTGGCTGGCTGCAGACATGAGACAACGCTGTGAGGCTCTCATAACAAACTTCGATAATTCTGTGCTAAGAATGTTCTGTCCGGAGTACGAATCCACACCAAAGGCCTTGCAGTGGAAAGAATTTAGATGCTCTGGCATCAAAAGCAAAGGAAACTGCAGAGGAAAAGGACCCATACCTTTGTTCTTTTCCTCTGGGCACTGTTTCAAAGCCATGGCCGTATGCACGCTGGGTGTGTGCTCTGCTGTTAAACTACTTCCGCAGCCTATTTTTGACATAGGATCTCACTATCTAGCCAAGGCTGGCCTGTCTCAGCCTTCTGAGCGTTGAGATGACAGATATGAGTCACCACACTCATCTGTGAAGTCGTTTCCAAGCGGCCTTCCCACTTACCTCAGATCCAATCTTGGCTCCGTGCACCGTGCCATACTGCCTTCCTTCAAGGATTCCCAAGCTACTGCCTTCTTCATAGCCTTCCTCATATCCCTCCCCATGGAATCTGTGGTAGAGAAACATACTTCATCAGGCAAGACACTTTTCCTGGAAGTCTCCCTGCCTTCTACTATTCAGATACCACAGGACATGGCAGACTGTAGTAAGAAAAGCTTAAAACTCGAGTTACAAAATGCAGGTTCTAGGTAAAGCTCTTCTCCTCCCTGGCCCATTACTGTACCCTTGTCCCCATTTCTGAGACAGGATCTTACAAGGTAGCCTAAGCTCACCTCCAACTCAAGCAACTCTGCCTCCATCTCTTGAACGCTGAGATTACAGGTGTGTGACACGACCTCCAAGAGAAACCATGATGCACATGGGCTTTGTGCCATGGCAAGCCCTCTACCGAGCTACAACCCCAAACCCTAGAAGCCCAAGTTCCTTCGTCTTCTAACTGTGGGTGCGCTACATGAGTGACTTCCAAACCTGGCAGAGCACCAGAACCCACAAGGAACATGTAAAGACACAAACTCAAGCAAGCTCGAAATACACTAGGAATCAATTTTTGAAAATGTAGGTGACTGGGTAGGTGCGGCTGAGCCTACATGGCACCGTAACTCAAGCTGTCAGTTTCTAAAACACTCCAACGACCCCTCAACCAGTACCGTGGAAAGAAGGTTCTGGAAGGCCCTGTGAGGCAGTGACTAGCTCCCCACTTGGCACGTGGGGGACCTGGGGAGCGTCTGCGCCTCCACATCCATCAGGAACCCATTCCCTAAGTAGGGCTCGAGTAGTCACCAAGTGAGGTTCCCACCCACAGTGAGCAGCCGGCCCGAAGAAGAGGCCAAGACACCCTGTGCCACTGCCCCGCCCAAGCGCTCCCCGGGGACTTTCGGCATCCAAAGGGGCCTGCCCGACATATCCATCAGCAGGTCCATGAATACTGCCGTATGTGCGGCAATTAAAGGACAAGAAAAAGTGGCAGCTCGCAGATGGCGAAGGCGGGTATCCCCGAGGACTGCGAGGCTCGGCCGAGCAGCTGCTGGGGCGGGGCGGAGCCGGGCCTCTGCCCACCTCTCATCCGCCATCACGACGGCGTCGAACATGTCCAGCTCCACGGTCGGGGCGCTATCCCGGCTCTCCCCGGGCCCTCGCACTGCTGCCATTCTGTGTAGTAAGCGCCAGCCGGCGAGGAACGGCCACAAACGCCCAGCTTGGCAGCCGAAAGAAGCCACTTCCGTGTATGCCGCGCGGAGCAGTGTGGGTAAGGACGGCAAGCTAAAGAAGCCAACGCTCACTAAAAAAAAAAAAAAAAAAAAAAAAAAAAATCCAGCCTACTGCGCAGGCGCAGATGCTGCGGTGGGCGGGACTGGCTCCTCCTCCCTAGTACCTCCCAATCCCCGGCGGGTGGGGCGGGTCCGGCTGCTTGGGGAACGTTTTGGGGCCGCGAGCGGGACCCAGGCGAACCCTGCTTTTATTTCCAAGATCTAAACAGATGGGACCGAATTCACAAACGTGGGGCTTAAAGAAATGAGAAAAGTTACGGAAGATCTGGCACAGGGGTGTTCCCAGGAAGTGGAGGAGGGGCCCCAGCTGCAGGCTGCATGGAGGAGGGTGGAGCTTTCCACATCCTCCCGGCTGTCAATCACCGCATCTGTACTCGCCACGGGAGCCTCCCTGCGGGCTGGAACCGATTTGATACAGCGACATCCTAAAGGGCAGATAATAAATATCGCCTCCGGCCGTGAAAATGTCCTCGGGGATCTTTGAAAATGAAAAAGGTTGTGTGTGCTAGTTACCTTGTTTTTTTTTGGTCTTTTTGTTATTTTGTCTTTTTTTTTTTTTTTTTTTTTTTTTTTTCCAGAGCTGAGGACCGAACCCAGGGCCTTGCGCTTGCTAGGCAAGCGCTCTACCACTGAGCTAAATCCCCAACCCCGAGCGTCTGCTCTTGCTGCCAGTATTTAAAGCAAAACTGAAGTATTTCATACACAGTCAAGTATCTGGTGGTACTGGAGGGCTTGCCGGCAGGAGGAGCCACTCTGTTCAAGCGCTCCAATCCTAAAGGCACCCACTCACCTAAAAGCGGGAATTGAAGTTAGTTCTCTCAGTATTTCCATCAGAGATACCGTCCAAAGAATAGTTTTAAAGAGTATTCCAAGCTGACAAGAAGGACATGTGCGATACCAGAAGCCCTTTCGTGCAAACAATAAAGGGAAAAGCAAAAAAAAAATCTTAAAGACAAGAAGGTTGGACACTGAGGGGTCAAGAGTGCCACTATTGCAGGTGTGACACTTGTCTTGAAAGCCAAAGACGTCAAACACAGCAACGGAGGCATCCACCAGCCGTAGCCTGAAGGAAAGGAAGCCTTTCAGGGGCCACAGTAAGTTTCTTGGACAACAGTTGCTAACAAGCTAAGCAGCTTCTGTGTGAAGGAGAGCGGAGATGCACCATTGTACTGGATTGGAGGGCCGAACAAGGGAACCACCAAAACCAAACAAAAACCCAAACAAACAAAAAAGCCAGTAAGAACCAACCAACCAACCAACCAAATAACAACAACGACGACCAAAAAACCCTCCGTAGCGCCATGGGATTCTACCTCCAGTTCTGAACTTCATTTGTACAAATGAATCCTTGACCGAAACAAGGTGTTTATTGAAAGTGAGAACTGCCATATCAGATACAAAAAAAAGAAAAAAAAAAAAAAAAAAAAGCTGAAGTCTCATGGTGGGCACAGTGGGGTATTGGTTGGAGAAGAGATAAGCCTGGGGAATAGCCTACAAAGGACCTAGGAACCAAACTCCCCATGATAAAGATAGAATCACAAACCCAGGGGACAATGGAGCATTAGTTACTAGCCGAGTTAGGAAAACATTGGTATTTCAGGAAAAACAAGGCCTGTGTGTCCCTCACACTGCTCATCGGAATGATTTCACACGGAGTAGAGAGTTAACCACAGAAAGAAAAAGGACATCAAAAAGCCTAGCTGCAGCATTCCTCAGGAGATGAGATACTTTTCAGTGGGTGAGGTGAATGTGAAACAGAATCCCCTATATGCCAGACTGGCCCCAAACTGAGTCTTGAACTCCTGACCCTCCTGCCTCCGCATCCTATGGTGAGCTGTCAGTTGGACAGCCAGGCAGGGCTGTGAGCCCTTGATACATGCTTCCCTCAGGTTGTGGAAGGGGCTAAACACTTCTTGCACTTGACATGCGCTGAGATTACAGGCCTGCGCACCCCTGGGCATGGCTTTGAGAAGTCATTTTAAACAACTAAAAAAACCACGGAGTATTTCATGGTGGGAAAAGCAACCTGTTTTAACTGGTGGAGCACAGCTGCGTTCAGTTCAGCGTGGGATAAAGGAAGCTAAACACCAAGGAGCAGTGTGGGGATGCCTTTTTCCTCTGTGCTTGAGGCCAGCCTGAGCTACAGAGTGCATTCCAGACTGGCCTGGGCTAAACAGTGAGGCCATATCTCAAAACACAAAATAAAGATGTTTAGAAATAGATACATGAATAAATAAAATTCATCCTAATAGGAAAAGTTAACAGGCTAGTGGGCCTTTTGTATGTCACAGGACTGAGCAACAGGTGTCTGGCCTTTAAATTGGGAGACTCCCATGAGGAACAGAAGGGATGCTGGGAAAGAGCAGTCAGAGGCAGCATCTGCCTTCTGAGATGTTTAAAACGCCCCCAGCCCTCTGTGTTTTGGTAGAATTAAAGGAAACTCTCATTGTTCACGGATATATCAATTTGAGCTGCCTTTTGGTCAGATGGTTCAAAAGGACCAGAAGGTCATTTGAAGTCTGTTCCCTTGACTCTTTGGATTTTTGTCTGGAGAAAGCAGTCAGAGAAGAGTGGACATTTTACATCCTATAATAAGCCCTGTGATGAGACTTGTAAAACTGAGCTGGATTTGATGACGGACGTGGAGAATGATACACTCAGGCACTCGTAAACTCACTTAAGTTAACACAAGAAAGATGAGAAAAATGGTAACTGTGGCCAGATCACGACTTGGGAATCCCAGTGACCTTTGGACTTATTTCTATATGTTCTTGGAACATCCATGTTTGTGCAGAGCCCATCAGTTACTTCTGAATGTTAAAACCCAAACCCCCAATAACATGTATATTTTGAGGGTGAAATGAAATAGGGTCTGTGCTATTATCTAAATGTCTTTTACATTTTTAGTTTTTTTTTTTTTTTTTTTTTTTCCCCCATGATCAAATAAAGTCACCAAACAGTTGTAATGCAGAGAACGGGAGACAAGCAAGCAAAAACAATGTTTTTCTCCAGTCTTTTGGTCACCACTTTCTTTTTGTTGGTATTGTTACATTTCCTCCCTGGTTTTTCCCCATAAATATATAAAAATCTCCCCAAAATGTACACATTGTGCATTCAGCGTGTCTCCAGAACAACACTTATTATCGTATGTTTAAAATACAATCATGAAGATGACAATTATTGGCTGAAATAAAACAGAACGTAGCTTTTGGAATAGGAAAATAGTTATGGTAGAGGAAGAGGGTGGGGGACCCCGTACAGATAAAGCCTGTGGCTAGTGTTCTAATAGAAGACTGTAACTTAGTGTTTTGTTTTGTTTTAATAATTCTGCAAAGGGGGGGGATCACATATACACAAAAATCAAAACTATTGATTGTGACTCTTGCTCTGGAACTTGGTGAGACACCCTGCCCACCTTGGTTTTCATCCTAAATATGTTCTGATCCCAGCTTGTGTCCACACAGAGAGCATAGGCACCCACTGCAATCACTGACTTGACTTTTCAATGTCGTTTTTTGCAAACTGCTTTACTCTCAATAAGGTCCAGACTTTAAAAATGGGACCTTAAAAGCAAAAGGGGGGGCTGGGGGCATGGTTCAGTGGCAGAGCACTTGCCTAGCAGTAGCAGGGCCCTAGGTTCAATGCCCAGCTCAGTCAAAGTACAGAGCTTCCAAAGAGCCAGAATCAGTAACATTTTAAAGTACAAATATTACCGATTTCAAAATTCTTACGTAAGTTCCCAGTTGACTGTTCATTTTAGCAACGGAACATATTAAAACTGGGTAGGAAGCTCTCCTGCTGATGTCGGGCTTTGGGGGAAGGAACATTTTAAAACTGGGTAGGAAGCCCTCCTGCTGATGTTGGGCTTTGGGGTACCAATTGTGACAGTCACTTAGCTAACACTGGAGCATCTCAGCCCAAACGGTCACGCTGAGAATGACTGGGAAGGGTCAGCCACAGACCTCTTAAACGTGTTTTGAGCTGTCTGGAGAGCCATGTGCATTCTATTTAGGCCAGTGGTTTTAGAACATTTTCACTGGGCTGAGGATATGGCTTAGTGGTAGGGCATTTACCTAGCATACACAAGGCTCCTGGTTCAATCCCCAGTATTACTAGCATGAAATTATTATTAATATTTTATTTCTGACAAGATGTATAGGGAAGATGGCAAATCAGCTTCCAGAAATCCACCACACTAAGACCAAACACTTTTTAAGTGTTTATTCTCATTTTTTTTTTCAGGTTCAGAGAAAAGTCAAGACAATCCAAACCAAGCAAAAAGCAAATTCCTCCAAGTTTAAATGTGTTCACTATAGTAACTGATATTTATTGTTTTCTTGTCTGTCTGTGTGTCTGTTTGTTTGTTTTGAGGCAAGGTCTTTGCCGCCCAGGCTGGCCTCACACTTAGAGCAATTCTCCTGCCTCAGCTACTGGATTGCTGAGGTTATGGGTGTGAGTAATCATGCCTGGTTAAGCAGCTGACTTTTTTTTTTTTTTAATTAGGTTATACCTGAAACAAAATAGCAGGAACATACCAAACCAAACCTGGCCATGAGGATGGACCCACAGTGTTAGCCTGGACGCATCCATTTTATTATAGAACCAGGAAGAGCAAGCTAAAACAAAGACTGGTCATTTGCTGTGCATTTGGTTCCAGAAGAGAGACCCTGGAAGTATAAACAGGTT